ACTGTTATACTGTATTATACTGCTAATTTATTATCATTTCTATCATAATCATTATCTTTGCCATTGTCAATATCATTATAATTATTACAATCAGTATTATTGTTATTATTATCATGATTATTATGATTATCATTATTATTACTAATACTATAATAATAATAATAATAATAATAATAATAATAAATATTAATAATAATAATAATAATAATAATAATAATAATAATAATAATAATAATAATAATAATAACAATAATAATAATAATAATAATAACAATAATAACAATTATCATTATTATCATTATTATTTTTATTATCATAATTATTATTATCATCAATATCAATATTATTATCATTATCATTATTACCATTATCATCATTATCATTACTGTTCATTGTTATTGTCATTATCATTATCATAGCCATCATCATCATTACCATTATCATTATTATTATAAATCATTATTACCTATTACTAATGATATTGTTACCATAACTATTACTAGTAGTAGTAGTGGTACTATTGTTTATATCTTATTTTTGATATCATTACCAATATCATAATAATCTTTATTATCATTATATCATTATTGCTATTATTTATTATCATTATCATTTTCATTATTATGAATATTATTAGGAATGTCGTCAATGTCATCATTATTATTAAGATAAGGATATTATAGATATTATATTATAATTAAGATATTATAGTAATTATCATTATAATAAGAATCATCATCATTATCATCTTTACCATCATCATCATCATCATCATCATTAGTAGTAGTAGTAGTATCATTACTATCATTATCATTACCACTATCAATATTATCATTATCATTATCATCATCAGAGTAATAGTAGTAGTAGTAGCATTATTGTCATTATTATTATCATTATTATGGTTATTATTATTATTATCATCATTATCATTATTATGGTATCAATGATAAAAGTATAAATTGTGATAATGATAAAAATGATGATGATGATGATGATGATAATAATGATGATGATGATGATGATAATAATGATAATGATAATGATAATGATAATAATAATAATGATAATAATAATAATAATAATAATAATAATAATAATAATAATAATAATAATAATAATAATAATAATAATAACAATAATAATAATAACAATAATAATAACAATGACGACGATGATATTATCATTGATGACACCAATATAAATAAAAACAACAATATCAAAAGCACGAGTAATAATAGCAGGAATAACGATAATGAAATAATGATAATGACTATCATAATCATGATCATACTGATGATAATGACAATAATTATAATAATTATAATAATAATCATAATAACAGCAACAATAACAATAAAATAATTAATGATAACAACAATAACTAACAATATTGATAAAACAATAACAAAGTTTTATTGATAAAATCAACTCATCGCATTAATGACAACCATACAAATGATAAATCATCATAGTAATAATGATTATGATTATAGGGATAATGATAAAATAATAATGGTGATAATAATAATATCAAAATGATATTGATCGCAACAGCATAAATAATAATAATAATAATAATAATAATAATAAAACAATGATATTAATATCATCATCATAAATAACAATAACAATTATAATTCCTTTTTCAAAATGGACACGAAGTTTGAGCAAGAAAGCGTGATATGATTATAAGAGAGAGAGAGAGAGAGAGAGAGAGAGAGAGAGAGAGAAGAGAGAGAGAGAGAGAGAGAGAGAGAGAGAGAGAGAGAGAGAGAGAGAGAGAGAGAGAGAGACAGACAGACAGAGAGAGAGACAGAGAGACAGAGAAGATAGATAAGATAGAGAGAGAGAGAGAGAGAGGCAGGTACCGAGAACTGAGACATGAGGAACACATTTAGTCATGGTTAGTTGTGTTCAGTTAGGTTCACGAAACAGGAAGAGAACGCGACTGAATGACGCTGGAATTCAGACATGTTTAGGTATAATACAAAAGTTTTTTTTTTTTTTTTTTTTTTTTTTTTTTTTTTTTTTTTTTTTTTTTACTGAACGCTGCAAGAATCCTTAGAAAGGGAGTTTTTTTGCCACTTAGTATTGAGGAGACATCCACGTGACTAACCAGCGTGCGACATAGACAAAACATTCATGATAATAATGATAATAATGATAATGATAATAGTAATAATAATAATAATTATGTTAATGATAATAAAAAGGATAAAAATAATGAAGACAATAACAACTATGCAACAAAAATAATAAGAACAAGAACGACGCTACTAGTATTACTAATACTCTTACTAGCAATAACTATAATAATGATACTACTATTAGTACTACTCCGACCACTACAACTAATGATAATAAATGATAAAATGTAAATAATAATAACAATAACAATAATAACAACATAACAACCATATTGATAATGGTAATAGAAATAATAATAATGACAATAATGATAATAATAACAATAATAAGAATAATGATAAAATTGATA